GTTGATCGGTCAAAATAAAGTCTTTGTATGAATTACTTTTTTATTTGACAAGCCATGTTCACGAAATTTTGCACATATTACTGTCTGTGAGCAGAAGCAACAATTCCCCAAAAAAATATTCACAACTTACTACTATAGCAAATAGCTGYCMTATAAACTGGGCGGTCAAAGTCAAGCCAAAGGTCGTTTTTTTTTTTACACTTCAATGCTATAAAAAATATAATATACCAGTGCAGGATATTATAGCTTCACTGCATCCTTCTAAAGTTCAAATTTTCAATAATCTTAAATTCCGCCATGAACTTTTCTCCATTTATACTTACCCATTAATATTTTATTATAACTCATATATATTTAATTAACCATTCCCTTATGCGCCCTTCCATTTCACTGTTCCCACTTGGTTCCACGTCTTCATAAATCATAAATGAATTTCTCATTACATAAYGCTCCACTCAACTTGGTTCTGCACTTAATTTGCATTGAAGCTCCACGCTTGCTAATCAACGATTTGCCGCTATTTCACATGCGACTATTTTTAGCGTGCAACGCGCACTTGGCCGCCGTAGCAAGCAGCCGCAGTGGCAAGGATGTGCGCCCGGATATGTGGACGTGTCTAACAATCAGTGAATTTCCGGCATTTTATTTCTTAATTACGCGCGAACGCACTCGAACGCGAAGCCAACCAGCACCAGCACAAGCAGAACCATAATCTTGGCAACAGCTCATTTGTAAACACACACACACACACGCGCATACTTATCAGCTCGGGCACAAATTGGCATTTGTAATATATGCCAGTTACTTTGCATAAGCACACATACATACAGATATATTATATGTATGTGCATAGATGTGCAGCTAGAAATGCGAAAATGCGCCTATCGTTGTTTTTACTCCACAAACGACGTTCGCATCTATAAATTATACGATCTTACAACTATAAAGCGCCTATCTGCATCCAATCGCGCCAAACGACCATTGACAGCGGCAGAGCAACGCGGCGGCGGCGAAGTGGCTGGGCTGCGGCTGAGCAGCGATCAAAGTTGGCAAGTCGCATCCGCAGTGTCGGTTAAACTAACTCATTTCAGCGCCGTACGTGTGTGTGTCTTATCACAATGCTGCGCGAATTCTTAAGCAAATGGCATTTGGTGATGAAGAGGCTCCATGCAACAAGCGGCACATGCTTGTATGCGTAGCAGTGAACACACATGCATACATAGTCAAGTTGACAGAGCGCTTGGCAAATTAAGTCAGCGACTAAGTGAGGCATGCAACAAACGGCGTACGGCATGCGGCATGCAACATTCGTACACAGTGATTAGACTGTTACATGTCCACTTTAGTTGCTGTCTTTTCAATATTACCACTGCGTTTGCCTGCTGCAAGCATCTTCAGCTGTACACACTGTCGCTCTATTTACTTGAACTTTTTTTATTTTGTTCTCGTTTTTACGATTTTTTTATTTCGTTTTTTGTTGTTGCTACTTTATTCACTTTTTTTCTGTTATCTGGTACACTTTGCCGTCCACATAATTGCGGTCGCGCTGCACTCCTAACGATCGATGCCACTATCGCTGCCGCCGCGCATTGCTTCRCCTTGCATCGGTCTCATCTTCAACATCGGACGCGGCATCAGCGCTGCAACATTAACTACATACATGCTGCACTTATTGCTCTGCTTTCTGTCTCCATTTGGCTGGTTCATTGTTCGCTGCGGTATGGCTGTGCCTCTGACTGGCCATTCGTCAGCACGCCTGCGTATTTCCAATCATTGAGTGGGGACATTGCTTAACAAAAGTGATTAAATGCCTTACTGTGTTTCGCGTGGGTTTCGTTGGTGGTAGCGAAATGTTTCGGTGCTTTTGTTGCTTTATCGGCTGCTTTTGAGTGTTCAATAATATTTTAACGGTTTTTGATATTTTTTTACATTTGTTACTGAGTTTTTCTTCAAGAACATTGGAAAATAATTATATTAAGTAAGGAGAAGCTTGTTGACCCGATCTTGTAATAAATACGTATTTTTTTAATTTAAAGGCGTAGTTAGAGGAAAAGATATTATGTCTTTTTTTGAGCTATTAATCCTCTTCCTCCTTAATGTATCTTTTACATAAAAAAAGTTCTTATTTATTCGAGAGATCGGATCAGCTTAGCAGTAATTCTGAAAATTTTTAAAATGGTTTTATACTAAAACAAAAACAACAACAACATGCACCACAGTAATTTCGCATGCAGGGAAAATTTTAAGATCAAAAATCTAGAGCTACGAAATAGGAGGCTTCTTCAGCGAACAAAGAGTTCCATTTTTTAAGGATTTCTGGCAATTTTTGTGGTAACTACGTCCTGTTCGACAGATTTTAGGAAGTTTCATTTTAGCTGGAAATTAAAAAATGATCACCGTAATGAGATTAGTTGATTTAGCCACCTCAGTACGTTTGTATACATGCGAACTAGGCTCACTGTTTTATATATTGAACTAAACCTTTGCACAAGTTACTTTCTCCAAATTTTTTGGATATCGGACCAATGTATTATATAGCAGCCATACAAATTGACCGATCAAAATCAAGTTCTTTATGGGAAACTTTTTTATTTGACAAGATATCTTCATGAAATTTGCYACAGCTTTTTGACCAAGACAGCGCTACAATTTCCAAAAAAAAAAGTATACATCAAACCTATGGCATATAACTGCCATACAAACAGACTGATCAAACTCCCGAAAAATACTTTGTGTTAAAAAATGCAATTGTGAAGGGTACTATGTTTCGGATATTAATGGTTTTCTTATTTTTTAGTGCTTTCAATATTCTATGAATTTKTTTGTATTATATTTTCCACTCATGTTCCTTGATCAACAAACTGTTGGAAGTTTCTGTTGCTCTAAAAAGGAATTTGACATATTTTACTCACCTTCTAAACTGTAGACCCCACCATATACAGAATACCAACCACAAATAACCCCTCCAACAACTGCTGAGCTAAGTTGCCGGTCACTGGCACCAACATTATCCCACAATAAATGTCGCCAACGAGGCATTTGCATAATTGGCTGCAGTAGCCAATCAAGCCATTATCGTTTGTACCCTTCAGCATGCAGCAACCTACATGTTTAAAAATGTGCTGAGTGCTCTTAACTTCACTTCTGCGATTTCTTTTTTATTTTCATTTTTTAATGAAAAAGTTTTTTTTTTTTTTGTAATTGAAACGCAGACATTTTCTACAGTTTGTGGCAATGCGCATTTATTGCGCTGCCGTGCCTTGCCGGTATTCTCAGCTGTCCGAGCGCCAGCAGGCAGGTTCTTATAAACTTTTTATTATATACATATATACTAATCAATTGTATTATCGAGTGCCGTTACACGCTGATGGCTTCATTATTTTGAAGCATTGCATTGGCTGACAAAGTTCATCAGCGGGTCATTTATTAAGCATTTGTGTCAACACTAGACTCTGTGCTGCATGTAGCGACTTGGCGACGTTGTGCATGGCAACTCATATGTGTATGTAGGTGTGTGTGTGTGGCGAGCGCTGTAGATACTCCGCTGTCAACACTCTACAATTAAGTGGCTCCATATATCATATGGAACAGCATCAAGGTTGTTAAGTTGTTTTTGTTGTTACAGTTGTTGTTATTSTTGTTATTGCTGCTACTGAAGTTAGCCGCTGTAGAATTTCGCTTGACTTTGGATTTATTTGCCGCATAAAGCGAAGCATAAATCAAGCTAAACATTGTCAACGCAGTCATTTTTCTTGCCGCATCATTCATGTGTGTATACATACATACATATGTGCATATATGTATATATATGGTACCTTTTTTGACGCGTTGAAGCGCAACAATAAAAAAAATTAAACGTTTTCTTACATTTTGATTTTGTTGTTGGTTGTGTTTTTGTTGTTGTTTTTTTTTCTAATTTTTTTTTTCTACCTTTGCAACGTGCGCAGTCACTGGTTGTTGTTGCCGTCGCTCTACTACCGTCAGCCCACCCATGCAATCAACATCAGCGCCTTAACAGCGCGCTGTCCAAGCACTGTTACCGTCGCTGTTCAAAACTGATTTCGTCTTTCATTTCTGTGCAAACAGCGCACACACATACTCACATCTGCATATGTTTCCATATAGATATTTAGCTTCTATAGTATTTTTAAATTTCACTGTTATAATATTCATTACTTCTAAGTACATACTTAAAATCCAATTTTTTGTGTTTTTTAACACATTTACCACACAATATTTTATTGTGACCCCGCCAAGCTGCTTGAGGCAAAAATCAATTAACGGCAACACACACAGACTGTCACTAATGAAATGTGCGCTCGATAATAATTCAATCACATATGCATGACCAGCTGACAGTAATATTAGCAACAACAACAACTACAATAAAGTCGCACTAAATCGCAARCAACGAGAGCAATCAAGAAGCAATCATAAAATACACTTTAACCATAAGCTAAYGAGAGTGTGTGCAAGATATACCAGCAAAGCAAAAAAAAGTTGAAGAATAAATAAAAATAAACTGAATTCGAGCAAAAAACCAACGAACTCGGCGCAAACAAAAGACTTAAGCAACGAACGTGACTGCGCGCCGACACTTTGAAGGTCAAACAATCACATTGTCTTTTTTTTTACTTCTTTAAATTTTTCACGTTGTAAGGTGTTTATTATTGATTTCGCTCTTGTTTTCAACTTCTTATTATGCTTCGCTTCACATTATTCGCGTCYGTTATGTAAGTAAGTCTTGAAGTCTTGTTAAAGTCTGTATTGGCTCTAATTGCGTGCTGGGACACATTGTCACTTAATTGGTATAAAAACGCCGACCCCGTTTGGCCTTTGTGGCGTATACATACGCGCATATTTGGCTTATATGGCTGAGTGTGTGTATACCCAATGGACGTCTTAAATACCAAATGACGCATTATTTTTATTGTTACTTGTTTTAACACATTTTCTTGAGTTATTTAATTGAAATTCTTTTCTTTYTCGCTTACAGGGTGCCGAGCGCAAAACACGTGATGAAGAGCGACGCGCTGCTAAGCGTAAAATGACCGCCACAGGACGCAAGAAGCTCGATGAGCTATATCATCCGGTTACCGATCGTTCAGAGTTCTATACAATGCAGGATTTGCAAAAGCCACCGGTACTATTCTCGCCCGCCGATGACATGGAAAAGGTGAGTAACGGGAAATCGATTATTATGTATTTATGTAATTGTAGTTATTATAATTATTAACAGTATAAATAAAATATGGGCGTAAAAGTAAAGTTAAAAAGTATATAGCCTACTTTTGGGAGAAAATAATAAATTTAAAATATRTAGCACAGTTTTTGGCGCAATTCAAATTACAGTATTAAATCAAATTACAAATATGAGAGAAGAAGTGAAGTAAAAAATATATAGCACACTTTTGGGCGAAAAATAATAAAGTTAAAATATGTAGCTCAGTTTTCGGCGCAATTCAAATTAYACTTTGAATTTYGACTAACTCACTTTTTCTTTATATTTGCTGCTTACAATATAAAAATATAACATATATTTTAGAATATAACTTTTTATTATATTTTCTTATTATTATTATTATAGAAATTTTATTTTTTTTATTTTTAGTATATACTTTTTTTTACTGTTATATTTTTTTTCTCTTATTATAGTATTATATTGTTTACCGTTATATTTTTTTAAAGAAATTTGTTGCCTAATCAATTATTATTTAATTTTTTTTTTTTTTTGTTTTTTGCAGAGCTTTTATGGCCATGAGACTGATTCACTGACCGGCGCACCAGATCTCAAAGGCACATCACCATTCTTGTTGCATGGCCAAAAAGTGGCGGCGCCAACACTCAAATTCCACAATCATTTTCCGCCCGACGTGCAGACGTGAGTATATGTAAAAATCGTTGCGCCTTTATGTGCTCGAGTGTGATGCCCATAAATAGGAAACAAATAACTGAAWGCTGAATTTTCTCTAAAAGACAAGTTTTTCCTATAAACTTTACATTCTTGACACTTGAAATCATTCGTGGCTTAATACTTTTAGATGCATATGAAATCACAAACGTTTACATTCTRTTTTTTCCTCACTTCGAACTTTAGTAAAGTTTTAGACGAAAATACACCCTTTAAAAATAATATTTATTGATTTAATTTCTATATATTTACATATATTCACATACGCTTTCGCCTTCCTCTTTCAGCGACAAGAAGGACCACCTGCTAGATCAAGGTCTAGTACCCAGTGCCATGGGCGATTTTGTGCCACCAATGAAGCGCGGACGCATTACACCGCCCACCAGCGAACGCGTTATGCTGTTCGTGCGACAGGAGAACGAGGAAATCTACACGCCGCTGCATGTGGTGCCGCCCACCACTATCGGCCTCTTGAATGCGGTAAGTCTACTTGTGTATTTTTGTTTACGAACTATACCTCACTCCTCACCACCTCCCAACCAAAAGTTACCTACTACTTATTATAGTACTAGACATTTGGTATTAGCATTGTTTCATTAATTTATTTTAGTTGCAACACAAAAACTCATTTTAAACTAAATTTATTAGAAAATCAAAAACAAAATACTGCTAACCGGGTGATATAAATATAAAGCAACAGCARCAGGGTAATCGAGTAGCTGAAGAAGCACAATTATGATTTTTTTTAGTTTTACTAAAATTCATTGATGAGGAAAAGGAGCTGTTTTAAGGCAGTTAATATTAAGATAAAAAAACAAAAATTAGGTWTCTTGAGACGCGGATTTTCAAAAAACCCTTCAAATTTTTATTTAAATCTGGAAAATAATTATTTTTATATCTAGAAAATTTTCCAAAAAATGTTGGGTATTTATATTAAATTCAAAAACATCARATAAATTTATTTTTGTTTCCGAAAGTAAAGAAAATATTTTTTGTTTTCAAAACTATAGAAAACATTTTTTGTTTCGAAAAATATGAAAATATTTYAATTTCTCTCCAATATTAGATCTATAGGGTACGAAGTTCTAATTAATCAATCAAACTCATTCTATCAGCTTCATGCTTGAACGTTAGGGAAAATTGCATTTCTCGATCCTTTTTTTAATGGTTTACTTTGGCTCTGGTAATCAACTAGCAAATAACAAAGGAATAACTACAAAATAATAATTAATTATTAATAATCAATCATAAACGCCATTCAATGTTAACATAAACATAAAAACAACAAATAAATAGTTGCAATATGAAATTAATGCACAAACACTCCCACCCAACACTTTGTGGTATAATAGCAATAAGTACAATAACAACAACAACCGCAACTCAAAAGTGAAAAATGCAAATCTCAAGCAATTAATCATTGCAATCAAAGCATCACTACAACCAAAACAACAATAACAACAACAACAATAACAACACCAACACAAGAAATAAACGCCTAATGACCAACAAATAGTAAATATGTAAATTGTTGAAATTAAAACCGCAACTACAACAGCAACAACAACGACAGCAATATCTACATAGTGTTGTTTAATTAATAATTTGTAATTATCGGCTACAACAACAACAGTAATAACAGCAAGCGCAGAAAAACGCAAAATAAATATAAACAACAACACTAAGCTGACAATAATCTATTTGCTCGCTCAATAAATATGATTTTTTCATACATATCACAAACCCACCCACACACACACACACACACACAAATACACTGCGCACACGCGCACCAATAGTTCGCATACCGCGTAGTTAGTTAGAAGAACATTTGGTCGTTTTCGAAGACACTTCACTAAACTAGTTAATAAAAATGAAAATTTTATGCGAATTCCATATGCAAATGGCGGCACAGCACAACAACTATTGTAAMCCAGGATCGGCATATTGACGATCGCTGATCGACGAGCGACGAGCGACGAACGACGATTTGATGTTCGTATGTTTAATGAATTCTCAAAGCAAATAACTTAGCTGTAAAATATTAATTAATTGCAGCGAAAAAAAAAGTTGGCGATTCAAAATAATGCCAATGAATATCAGTTACTTAGTTGATATTTCATACCTTTTTATATAATGCATCCAATATACAAATAATAATGTGTGTGTGCATGTACGTGTGTGTGTGATTAWTGTGTATAACATGCAAGTATGGCGACGGCTAAGATCGATCATTAATTCCATGTAAGTTGCATGTTTGAATGCTTCATTGCTCCGCCCATTCATTACCTCATGACATTCCATACAAACAAACCAACATATTTACAAGCGAAAAACACAAAGACAGCTTATTTTTTAAATATTAACTGTGAAGATAATGTAATATTTAGCTATTTATTTTTAAAATAATGCAAGGATCACGTGTTATAATTAATAGCATAAATATAAATGTGTAAAACGTACTTAAAGGAAGTGCAATAATTAAAGTATGTCATAAAAAATGTATTTGCCGTTTCGTTCAAAAAGTTAAGTTAAAAGTTAAAAGCTCTTTACATTCCTTCATAATCCATTATTTCAAAACTATTCAAATCAAAAATGYCAACAATCAAATTTTCATTTTTAAAACTTTTAATTTC